GGGGGGGGGAAAGGTGAAAACATTGACCCTGTAAAAGATCAGCATTTTAAAGATGAGTTCCATTTTATTGGTTCTCTAAAATTCAAATAATAAGGATGCTGAGTAATAATTTATTGGATATTCTTGTTTTGGTAATGATTATACTGATTTTATATTCTTAGGTGGGAGGAAGTATCCTTGCTAATGTGTATTAAACTGCTGCTTTGAAGCTTATCTGCTTAGCTAATTTGATCCATTTAAAAAATTTCCTATAGGCTAAAGGGATGTCCAAGGAGGAGGAAAAATTTAAGCAACATCTTCAGGCCCAGCAGAAGAAAGAACTGAACAGCTTTTTGAAGTCCCAGAAGAGAGAATATAAACTTCAAAAGGAACAGCTTAAGAAGGTATTTACTTTATAGAACTTTTCAAGCCACTTACCTGCTTACTGATTATATTCAATATTGATCTACTCATAGAACCATTAGCATAAGTTTTTCTTTTGTTTGTGGCCACTAACTATATATCAGTTTAGTGAGGGCATTGATTATAACCTATTTTCAATGGCTGATATCCTCAGTTGAGTGGGATCTAAAGAGTGATCTCTTGAACATTTAAATTATTTTATGAAGCTACTATTTATAATAGCTTTCCTAAGCACTTAGTAACTGAGTCACTAGAAATAAAAATACTTTAGCTGTGAAAAAGAGCCATACATTTCTTCCTTTAAAAGTAAATCATACCTTCTTACTTTGGGCTCAGATTACAATAATTTGTTCTTATTCTGATTTTAACACAGAATGAGGATAAGAGGCACTTCTGCTTATCCCATTTTCTTTAATAGGAAAGCATGCTAATTATGTCTTTATGGTTACAGTTATTTCATGTGTGTTTGCCCTTTATGTGCTGCTTTCTTTAACATCTTCTTATCGCAGATGTACTCTAACTTTGAGGAAAGCCATGGTTGTTCCAAGGCAACTTTTGAAAGAGGATTATTATTCAGGATAGTGGTCAGGACACGAAAATGATATGTGTCAGCTATTGCATATTTATTATATTGCAGAGAATATAAATCAGCCATCTTTCCTAGGTCTAAGATGATTTTTCAGAGAATATTGACCTTACGGTTCTTCACCTGTTATTCAAGAAAGAAACCAATTCTTTATTAGTTTCGTTGATAAGATACTCAAACACATAAATATAAAAAATCACATAAACTTGTAGTTCTCAACTTAAAGATGTCAATGAGAAGACAGAGATAATACAGGCGTACACACAAAGAATCATTTGGCTATGTTTTTCAAAATCTCTTGCCAAGGAAATTCCCCACCCACCAAGACTTCTCCAGTTACACCCCCTCTTACAAACTGATGGGCTGAAATTTTTAGCCCATGTAATAAATTATTAGCACACAGATAAATTAATCTTGATAACATAACCATAATATCTTTGGTACAGTGCTTTTGTGTGTGTAGGAATTTGACTTATAATTAGATATTTAAGTCTTACTAAGGACATATTGGTGGCACAAAGCCTTGCTATATATACCCTGCCAAGTGAGGTTCATTGATAAGATTTTTCTGACTGGAAAGAGTATAACCTGGTATGTGTTCCCATTACTGTAATCTAAAAGCTAAACTCAATACTAGAACATGGAATTTGAAAAGATGGTAAATAGGATTCCCAACTGTAAATAAATACCCAACAAAATGCAGTTCTATAGTTGTTTCTTAGTGAAATGAGGTTTTAGTTTTATAAATGAATGTGTTGGTTTAGATAATCCTTCAAGCATATAATTTATAGTCTAACAAGCTCATTTTGTTTTAGAAGGTAGTTTTCTATATTTGTGTGTGTGTGTGTGTGTGTGTGTGTGTGTGTGTGTGTGTGTGTGTTCATTTAGAATGATTTTTATCGGTATAGAGGAAGGTACATACTAGAGTCTTGGCGGGTGGGGAGTTTCCTTGGCAAAAGATTTTGAAAAACAGCCAAGTGAGTCTTTGTGTATATGCCTGTATTATCCCTGTCTTATCATTGACATCTGTAAGTTGAGAGCTACAAGCTTATGTGCTTTTTATTTTTATGTGTTCGAATATCTTATTAATGAAAGTAATGAATAATTGGTTTCTTTCTTGAATAACAGATGAAGAACCATAAGGTTAATAGTCTCTGAAAAGTCATCTTAGACCTAGGAAAGATGGCTGATTTATATTCTCTACAAGATTGACGCATTTTAGGTTGCAATATACTAGTATTAATTAGCATCCTCGGGTTTGTATCATTGAACGTATTGTCAATATTCTCATCTTGTCCAGTATAAATGAATTTTTTTAAAAGTCATCTTAGACCTAGGAAAGATGGCTGATTTATATTCTCTACAAGATTGACGCATTTTAGGTTGCAATATACTAGTATTAATTAGCATCCTCGGGTTTGTATCATTGAACGTATTGTCAATATTCTCATCTTGTCCAGTATAAATGAATTTTTTTAGGTAGTTTGTGAGATGATATTTAAAATGCTGTAGAAAAACATTGGTCTTGCCTTGTGCAGTGGTTATAGTGCTGAATATTAAATCCATTCTAAAAGGTCTCTATTTTCCTACAGTTTTCTTGATTTTCCATTTAATTTGCAAAGTCTTTTATACTGAACCCATCCTTAACTTTGCCAAAAACTTAGCATTTCTATTGTTGAAAATCAAGAAGTGAGACATAACTATATTTCAACCTTGATTTTAATTCGTGTGATTTTTACTTGAAAGCACTGCCTTCTTCCCCTTTTGGGGAGGGATTTAAAGAAAGATGTTTTACTTCATTCACCAATCATTGTGTGCTTTCAGAGCTACGAGCCATCATAAATATAGCTGTGCAAAGCTAAAAAGTATGCATGTTTTCTAGTGTATGTTTTCTCTTTTCTTGTCCTACTTGATGGATAACTCAAGAAATGGAAAAATACTACCTACTTCCTTAAGGTCATCGCCCTGCCTGCCCTTGAGAGAGGGCACAAATTAAGTACTTTTACTGAAGATTACCAGCTACCAAATAATATATTCATGTAGTTAATTTTTATGTCTTTTGAACTCAGTTGTTTTTTATCTTGCCAGGTGCTTAATGTAAACCAGAGCAGCCCAAGGAAAGAAGAACAGGAATGGCTGTCAAAGCAGATAGAGAACGTCCAGCATTCCCAGGCAGAGGAGAAGACTGATCTTCTTCACCATCAGAGACAGCACCTCGGGCTGCAATGCCGTCGCTTCCAAAGAAACATATTACTTGGGTGCTGTAACTTGGAGCAGGATCTTGTCATGGAGGTATGTTTAAATGGTGTGAAATCAGAATCTTCCTGAAAATATGTCAGTCACATCCCACCCTCAAGGCCTTAGAGTGCNTGGAAATTATATGAAGTCCCAGGTTCTGTTCAGGGCTTTTATATCCAGTGGATAGATATATTAAGTAAAAGTTTAATAAATATTAAATCCATGACTGAAAGAAGTATTAATTTTTAAATGTGAGAAAATTAATTGGATAATTTATGCCTCTTCATCCGAAATGGATGCCATAAAGATGTATACTACCATTTAACATATTTTTATGATCATGAAATTATTCATTGGGCATATGTAGAAACTTATGCCAATGAAAACAACGGTTCTCATTATCAGGTATACCTATGAGCAAAGATCAATTTATTTCCAAGAGTGGCTTAAAATAAACTTCAACTATAAGTTAATTATTCAAATTCACTAATAATTAAAGAAATTCAAATTAAAACAATTGCATCAATTCGATAAGATCAGTCTAAAAAATTGGTAAGTCCTAGTAGTGGCATGGGAAAGTGGGCAATGTTGGGAAGAATATAAATTCATACTGCCATTTTGGAGCATAATTCAGCAGCTTTTACAATTTAATTTGCATGTATCTTCTATCCATCAAATCCACTTCTCAAATTCTATCCTAAAGAAATAATAACATAATTATATGGCGTATCATGTGTAGATGTTTACTGAAAATTTGTCATAAGCAAAAAATGGAACAACTACGGCATCACAAAGCAGAAGCTTACTATAAAACTTAAAAAGATCTGTATGTCCTCATCTGATCTGGATATTTGTCCATTATGTTTTTAGGTAAAGAAAGCATATTATATGTCTATATATTTTTTTTATTCAATTTTAAAACTGTATGTTTTTGTGCAATAGTTGTGTCACGATAGCATGGGGAAGGTTGGGAAACATATGCACCAAATGTTGGCCCCTGGAGAAGGGGCAGCAGAGGCTAAAGGGCCAAGTCTGACTTCCTTCTACAGAGAAAAAGAGAGAGAGCGTGTGTGAGTGTATGTGTGTGTGTTGTATATTTGATCTTTTTAAACTGAAAAAATTGTTGTAACATTTATTGATCATGAGGTAGGTATTCTGAGAGCTTTCCACTTATGAATTCATTTCAGCCTCACATTAATTTTATGAAACAGCTATGTTATGGTCTCCATTTGAGAAGTGATGAAATTGAAGCACAGAGAGTTTAAGTAATTAACCCAAGGACTCACTGCTAGTTGGTAGCAGAGCCAGGATTTAGAAAGCAGGCAGTCTAGCCCTAGAGTCTTGTGTTCTTTTTTGTTTGTTTGTTTGTTTTTTAATTTTTTATTAAGGTATGATTGATATACACTCTTATGAAGGTTTCACGTGAAAAAACAATGTCGTTACTACATTAACCCATATTATCAAGTCCCCACCCATACCCCAATGCAGTCACTGTCCGTCACCACAGCAAGTTGCCAGAGATCCACTATGTCCCTTCTCTGTAAAACACTGTTCTCCCCGTGATCCCCCACATAATACCCCTCAGTCCCCTTCTCCCCCCGCCCCACCTGCGCTCCCACACCCCTCCCCTTTGGTAACCACCAGTTTATTCTTGGAGTCTGAGTCTGCTGCCATTTTGTTCCTTCAGTTTTGCTTCATTGTTATTAGAGTCTTGTGTTCTTAACCACTACACTATACTGGCTATACTGCATGTAACAGAATTGAATGTATACACTGAAGAAATTCAAAGGATGACTTAGAAGTCCTCTTCAAATACAAAATTAGGAAACATAAATGAAAGAGAGTAGAAAGGACATTAAGTCTCTTGGGACAGATTTGATATGTCTTAAGCTTATTGCTAAAAATAGTATAAATAGCTAATGAACAGATAAGGAAATTATGCTACCAATTGCCCATTTTCTACAGTTACAGTAATAAAACTCTAATATTTACTGTGCAGCCATTATTAAATCAGAGGATTACATCTATATCCTGGTTATTCTGTTTCTTAGGATTTTTTTCTCCTGGCATTGTACATCAGTAAATTACACCTTTGTATTTTGTTATGAATTAGGAGTTAAATAATAGGCAGACTCAAATGGACTTGGAGCATGCAACGCTCCTGCGTCATCATGAATCCATGCAAGAACTGGAGTTCCGCCAGCTCAACACAAGGCAGAAGATGCGCTGTGAGCTGATCAGGTTGCAGCATCAAGCCGAGCTCACTAACCAGCTGGAGCATAACAAACGGAGAGAACGAGAACTAAGGCGAAAGCATGCCATGGAGGTTCGACGACAGTCTAAGAGTCTGAAGGTACCTTTAGCCTAAGCTTCTTGACAAAGGAGAACAGATAAAAGGCATCATGTAAACACTAAAAGTCTAAGCCATATTCTTGGAGTCTGAGTCTGCTGCCATTTTGTTCCTTCAGTTTTGCTTCATTGTTATTAGAGTCTTGTGTTCTTAACCACTACACTATACTGGCTATACTGCATGTAACAGAATTGAATGTATACACTGAAGAAATTCAAAGGATGACTTAGAAGTCCTCTTCAAATACAAAATTAGGAAACATAAATGAAAGAGAGTAGAAAGGACATTAAGTCTCTTGGGACAGATTTGATATGTCTTCAGCTTATTGCTAAAAATAGTATAAATAGCTAATGAAGAGATAAGGAAATTATGCTACCAATTGCCCATTTTCTAAAGTTGCAGTAATAAAACTCTAATATTTACTGTGCAGCCAGTATTAAATCAGAGGATTACATCTATATCCTGGTTATTCTGTTTCTTAGGATTTTTGTCTCCTGGCATTGTACATCAGTAAATTATGCCTTTGTCTTTTGTTATGAATTAGGAATTAAATAAGAGGCAGACTCACAAGGTCTTGGAGCATGCGATGCTGCTTCGACATCATGAATCCACGCAAGAACTGGAGTTCCGCCAGCTCAACACAATGCAGAAGATGGGCTGTGAGCTGATTAGATTGCAGCAACAAGCCGAGCTCACTAACCAGCTGGAGCATAATAAACGGAGAGAACGAGAACTAAGGCGAAAGCATGTCATGGAGGTTCGACAACAGTCTAAGACTCTGAAGGTAACTCTAGCCTAAGCTTCTTGACAAAGGAGAACAGATAAATGGCATCATGTAAACACTAAAAGTCTAAGCCAGATGTCTGCCATAGAGAAATTGAATAAGCTTTTTTTCTTTTCATTTTAAGCATGTTTGGTTAGTTTTGATGTAAAGGGTCTATAGCTACAGACTTCTGCTTATATATTTCTCAGCACAGTACCAAAAAATGGCCAGAACTTTTTTACTGTGGAAAGTGCCATAAATGAGATTCAAAATTCTTATTTTAAGTGTACCCAAATGTCCAATGTTGATACTACAACTATATATCAACATACTAACCTGTTGGCTTCTCTCTGTTGTTCCAAGTTCTATAGTTTTGGGATCTTATTTCCTCTGAATGTGATTTGTATCCAAAAGAGGCAGTAAGTTGTTGATTAGTACAGAAACCAGTGAATGAAAAATGCCTTTTTACCCCCTCTCCCTTCATTGTCTATACTCATCCTAAGAGGAATAGTGGAATTATCACATTGTTACTCCCATCCTTTCTGTGCTTGGTAGCATAGGTAAGACCAGGGCATGTGTAGTTGGAGTGTATTTTTTAGCACATCAGAGTGAAGCAAGTCATTACTATATGCCCTCTTGTAGACAAATAAGGAAAGACAAGTGTTGATGGTATATAATATCTAAGGACTTTAAATTTTGTATTTGCTTTGCATAGAGGAATTTATTCATAGGATACAAAATTCAAAAGATGCCAAAGTGTAATTATTACAAAGTTAAAGGTTTCCCTCTCCTTGTCCTTTAAGCCACCTGGTCCAGCCCCCTCTACCAAAATTAACCAGAGTTAACAATTCCAAGGAATTTTCAAATTTTATGACTTGTAATAAATATGTGAAGTATAATCACATGTACCTTAATAAATAAAAAACTGAAACAACCCACTATATATGTTGTCATCCATAGTAGTACCTCAATCAATCTGTACATGTCTGCACATTTTAAACTTTTATTTACATCCAATAAGGCCCAGATCCCACTGGGGGTAAAGAAAGAGGTATCTTCTTTACCCCCTTTTTCAAACTCTTTGACAATTTAACTATAGAACTATTATGTAACAACACTTACCTGAATAACTGTCCTGAAGTGAAGTGAACTTCACTCAAAGAAGTCATCTGTGTCAAAACCAGAAGCTAAATCAGAGGGATCTCTGGTTCCTATTCAGCTCCATTCATACAGGTTGTCCTGAACAAAATACAGAAGCAAAGCTATGATTTACCCTTTCCTTGTGAATCTAAGTAAAATTTTACTTTGCTGTATCTTCAAAACAGCTAATGAACATCGTTTCCAGAGTAGCTCATATGTTGACTACCCACATAACCATCATTAGTTAATGCTTATGAAAATCAGAATTCTTAATGATTTTCCAGATTTATTTTGTCTTTGTAGTAGCTACACAGTAGAGTTTCCCACCAAAAGATATTTAAAGCATGTCTATAAAATTAATTACAATTTTAAAGTGAGCAGCACCCAGAAGTAAACCAAACTGAAAGCTTGTTGGTTTTCTTTGGTCAGACCATAAATCTGATATGACTTCATTTCTCTGGGGCTTGGAATAGGTTAGTTGTTTGCTGTTTAGCCCTTCCTTTTTTTCCCTGTTGTTGCAGCCTTCTCAGTTTGAAAGCTTGTACAACACTAGTCTTATTCTCACAGATACTATTAAAAAATCAAGGGGAAAAATAATGTTTCACAATCATAGTCAGACCTTGGATAGAAAGCTTCCTTCTCGTGATACATAAGCTCAAGATTTTCCATAAAAGAAATTGTTCTGTTACTTCAGTGGGAAAGAAAATCACCATGTTCCTCTTAGTTGTATATATCTATCTACTTGCACAATTTGAACAAAACAGACTTTTTTTAAAAATTAAGGTATCATTGATAAACAATCTTATGAAGGTTTCACATGAGCAACATTGTGGTTTCAACATTCACTCATACTATCAATCCCTCCCACCCCATTGCAGTCACTGTCCATCAGCGTAGTAAGACACTACAGAGTCATTACTTGTCTTCTCCGTGCTGTGCTGCCTTCCCCATGACCCACCTATATTGTGAGTGCTAATTATAGTGCCCTTTAATCCCCTTCTCCCTCCCTCCCCACCCATGATCCCCAATCCCTTCCCTTTGGTAACCCTAGTCCCTTTGTGGAGAAAACAGACTCTATTTTAACACCAGGTCATTTCATTTACATAAGTAACAGTTGCAACTTTTTTAGGTAAATTTTTATTTACTAAGTAATAGTTCAACTTCAATAGTGGCAACTATTCCAGCTTTCTCCAAGACTTTAAGGGGGATAGGAGGACTTCAGTGTGCACACTTAGATAAGCTGACAGTATTTGTCGACATTCGGCACCATTTCTGTGGAATGACTTGGGTAAACACCTATTGTCTATCTGCCATTTCTTCATCTGCCATCAGGTGATGTTTTGTCACTATTAAGTGATTAAGAAACAACTGGAACATGTTTATCCTGCTTTCACTTGAGTGAAACATTGAGGGATATAGTTTATTCTTGGTATAAGTATTAATCTTGTTGAAAAAAATTTTCAGGGCATTCCTTTTTGTCATTAGCTAGTGATACGGAGTGACTATAGTTTTCTTGGCAAAATATTTGAATATTTAAAAGTTTTTTAAAGAATGGAGTCTGTTACACAAAGTCAGAAGAGAATTCTAAATTTCATTGTTCCATTCCTAACTTGGAGGAATTTTATTAACCAAGGGCAGTATTTAAGAGCAGTGCTAAGCCAACTAAACCAAGAGTTTGTCTTTCTAGCTAGACATTTCTTGACCCTTCACAGAATAAAGGTACATGACTATGACTTAGTACCTCAATTGGTGTAAAATGCAGAAAAGGATATATATTTGATTTTGTAGTATTGGAGCAAAGAGTGTGAACTAGTTCCTTGACAAGAGTGTTTGGTCATACACGCATTTGCACACTTAGTCAACCATTCAATATCTGGCAGTATATATATTGAGGGAAATAATTTCGACTATAGGTTCTGCCTTTGTGTAGTAAATGAGTGTTGTTACTTGTAGGCTTGATGGGTATACCTTATGAAATATATCTCATCTTACTAAGTTTTGTTAAAACTTGAGTTCATAGAATAATTAACCTGTGATTTAAAGCCAGAGTTATTCTGTTTCTGAACTCAAATTATTTTATCTCAAAAATGTTTATGTAGTTCATGTCTGTTATCATTACCACAAGAAGGGTTGTCCCTTCCCTTGCCTCCTAACTTTTCTTTGACCTTTGAAAGATTAGTTACCTTTCAGGTTTTTGCTCATGGTGCTAAAGAGTAAACCCTTATGAAGTAGTTTCTACCTAGTTCAGTATCTTAAGGAAAAGACAATTGTAATAACAATATCAGTCAGTTACTAGTACCCTACTTTTATGAGGTCCATCACAGACTATATTTACAGTTGAGACTGTCATTAAAAGAAATTGGAGCAAAATGTCTTAGACAAGGAACAGAGTAAATATACTTATTTTCTGCCTCAGAGATCTGATAAAATATTGACTGGTATTTTACATCTACTAAGTGCATGAAAAGAAATATAATTTTCTGCCATCAATATGCACAGTAATCAAAGGTAATTTTAATATTTACTCACGTCACTAAATTAAAAACAAAAGAAGTATTGCCTGAAGTCCTATGATAAATGAAGTTCTTGGTATTCTTATGTTTTAGAGTTTGTTATAAAATTGCATGGAATCCAATGGTTTGACCCAAGTATAGAGGTACCTGCAACCTTATGATCTGAGTTTTTGTTTCCTCTTCTTTTCGATTCTAGCCTTTTCATGTAAGCATATGCTAGACCAAATTCCATGTTAAAAATTATATGTCTGTTTATTTTCGTTACAGTCTAAAAAACTCCAAATCAAAAAGCAGTTCCAGGACACCTGCAAAATCCAAACCAGACAATACAAAGCTTTAAGAAAACACTTACGGGAATCTACACCAAAGAGTGAGCGCAAAGCTGTTCTGAAACGGCTTAAGGAGGAGCAGACCCGGAAGTTAGCCATCTTAGCTGAGCAGTGTGACCACAGCATTCGTGAAATGCTCTCCACTCAAGCCGTAAGTTTATTTTACTTAGGCAAAACAAATAGAGTTCCCCTTTCCTTCCACCACATTAATAAAATCCCAACAATTAAAATATTAAGGTGGAAATGAAAACTCTGCTGCACCTTGGGAAATAGTGCTGCTGGTCCATATTCTTCTTGTTCTCAGCATTGCTTGGAAATATGCATGATGTATATATAATTCTCTTTGATACACTTGGACATGAGGTTCTACATAGGCTCTCTGCTGGTGCCTTGCAGGGGTTTAGTACATACACCAACAGTGTATCAAGATTGGAGAAGCAGCTTTGTTAAGCAGTGTTCGAAAAGTAGTACTTGATTGGGAATCCAGGTGGTTCCATTTGAGTGCAGATACAAAATATTTGCTATGTAAGTTTACAGACGTTTTCTTAATGGGCCAGATAGTAAATATTTTAGGCTTTGTGGGCCAGGAGAAAAAATTGAGGTTATTATGTGGGTATTTACATTGCCATTTAAAATGTGGCCATTTCAGAATGTAAAAACCATTCCTAATTAGTGGGCTGTTGAAAAACAAAAACAAAAAATCAGGTAGCTGTTCAGATTTGGCCCATAAGCTGTAGCATGCTTGTCCCTGTTCTATAGTTATTTCCATTGGAGAGAAAAGATTCAGAATCTTATATCAATCAGATTCTATATTTTTCTTTAAAAAAATAATGATTATTTAGGCATCATCCAAATAGCTTATGATAGCTCTATCCTTATAATGCCATCATTGGTGCTATGTTTTCCTTTTTCAGAGATGTTTACTCCAAGAAGTAAGAGAGAACAGCTGTGCCCCATAGGAGAGTAGTCTGTCTTAACTTACACCTCCTCCTTTCCAGAGGTCATGAAAAGATAGCTCACAGGAGGATAAATCTGTTTTCTTTCTCTCTTTCAGCTGCGTTTGGATGAAGCACAGGAGGCAGAGTGCCAGGTTTTGAAAATGCAGCTGCAGCAGGAACTGGAGCTGCTGAATGCATATCACCGCAAAATCAAAATGCAGGCTGAGGCACAAGATGATCGAGAGCTTCGGGAGCTTGAACAGAGGGTCTCCTACCGCAGGGCACTCATACAACAACAGGTATAAGTAATAGAAAAAAGTAATTGTGGGGGTGTGGAGCCAAGATGGCAACATGAGTAGAGCAGTGGAAATCTCCTCCCAAAACCATATATATATTTGGTGTCATTAATCTACAATTATATGAAGAACATTATGTTTACTAGGATCCCCCCTTCGCCAAGTCCCCGCCACATACCCCTTCACAGTTACTGTCCATCAGCGTAGGAAGATGCTGTAAAATCACTACTTGTCTTCTCTGTGTTGTAGAGCCCGCCCTGTACCCCACCCATATCACGCATGCTAATCGTAATGCTCCCTTTCTTTTCCCCACCCTTATCCCTCCCTTCCCACCCATCGTCCTCAGTTCCTTTCCCTTTGGTAACTGTTAGTCCATTCGTGGGTTCTGTGATTCTGCTGCTGTTTTGTTCCTCCAGTTTTTCCTTGTTCTTATACTCCACATATGAGCGAAATCATTTGGTACTTGTATTTCTCTGCCTGGCTTATTTCACTGAGCATAATACCCTCTAGCTCCATCCATGTTGTTGCAAATGGTAGGATTTGTTTTCTTTGTGTGGCTGAATAATATTCTGTTGTGTATATGTACCACTTCTTCTTTATCCATCCATCTACTAGTGGACACTTAGGTTGCTTCCATATCGTGGCTATTGTAAATAGTGCTACAATAAACATAGGGGCGCATCTGTCTTTTTGAATCTGACAGCTTGGTTTCTCTGGGTGAATTCCTAGGAGTGGAATTCCCAGGCTAAATGGAATTTCTATTTTCAGCTTTTGGAGGAACCTCCATATTGCTATCCACAATGCTTGAACTAGTTTACATTCACACCAGCAGTGTAGGAGGGTTCCCCTTTCTCCACAACCTCGCCAACATTTGTTGTTGTTTGTCTTTCGGATGGTGGCGATCCTTACTGGTGTGAGGTGATATCTCATTGTGGTTTTAACTTGCATTTCTCTGATGACAAGCAATGTGGAGAATCTATTCATGTGTCTGTTGGCCATCTGAATTTCTTCTTTAGAGAACTGTCTATTCAGTTCCTCTGCCTATTTTTAATAGGACTATTTGCTTTTTGTTTGTAGAGGCGTGTGAGCTCTTTGTATATTTTGGATGTCAACCCTTTATCAAATCTGTCGTTTATGAATACATTGGTAGTGTTTTCTTTTTCTTTAAAATTACTGACTCAGTAATGAACCTTAAAATTGATGAGTTTGATATATTAAGGGAATATCCTTACATAGTAATTGCTAGAGGAATGATGTGGAGTTATGTGAAGACAGTTGAATTGTGGAAGGACAGCTCTGGCTCTGTCTTGCTTACTTCTTTTGTGTACCTAAAGAAATTGGAGAAAAAGTTGGATAGTGAAGGAAAAAACTTTAGTAATTGTTTGGGAGAGACAAGGAAAAAGGATCAGGAATATACTTTATTCATTCATCCTTGGTCTGGAACTGTACAGATTGGTAGATTACTAGAAAACAGAAGGTAAAACCAGTTTTACACAGATGAAGAGTTAGGCTGAAAATAATATTTCTAGATGTATCTTTATTTTTTTTTACTTATTCTGTCATATACATTAGAACTAGAATCCCTACATTCACTTGTATCCTTTAAGGTATTGAGGCTATATGTCTGTGTTTGTTTAGAGAAAGAATAATGGGTAGAAGATTTGGAGAAAGAAAGAGAGGAAAGACATTTGTTTTGAGTAGTAGTAGAATATCAGTTGTATCCAGGATTGAATGTTATGTTGCAGAATTCCTGAGCCATAAATTCTCAGCAACTGGTATGGTCTTAGGTGCATTGGTCCATTGTAAGTTACCATGTGCCTAAGGGTTCTGTCTATTAAAAATTGTCACTGCTTCTGGACTATCAATTGGCCCATAGATTTTCCTCTATTTTCTACAGTTCTTGTGATAAAAGTAGAATACCTCATTTATGTTAAAAAAATATGGTCTTAAGGTGTTGCTATTTCGCTGGCTCAGCTGTCTTTATTACTGGCTCCTTTGACAGTTACTTGCCTCTAAAAATTATCTCAATTAAGTTTCTCATTCAAGATGGGCAGATTGAAACACATACAGATTTTTAGAAAAATGTAGTTGTCCCATGTACAGAATTCATAAATCTGCCTGATTTCAACTTGCATATTTAAAATTTAATCTAAAGTTCCATCTCATATGCTTCAAAATGATCACTAAAAGGAAAACCTATACTATTTCAGTAACAGTGTTATGAGAGAAATATTGGTACTGTTTTATTTGTATTTGTAGCTCCACCTAGTGGCTCAGTTAAAGAGTGCTAATAAGTATCTTAGGTGTAGTCTTACTTCAATATATGAACTAAGGCCTTTATGTTCTACAAAACCAGGTAAAATGTTGGCATAGGGCTGATAGCATTGCCAGAAGTGCAGTGGAACTCTCATACATTGTTAGTGCATTTTGGAAAGCAATTTGGAAGTATATATTGATCTTTGAAAATGTTAAGCAAAGAATTTAGAGAAAAGAAATCCTGAATACAGTAAAAGCAAAGGATAAATATGTTAATTATGGCATCATTTATAATGGTTCAAAACACCTAACCATCTAAAATAATTAAGTGCTCATGACCAAGCCACTTAAAATCTTACTCAACCATTTAAATGATGGTTATAAAGATTGTAATAATGGGGGAAAATGCTTATGAGGTGTTGAATAAAATAAAGATAAATCACACTTAAAGTGAATTGAACTAATGCTTATAGTGGCTATATTAATGTGGTAGATTGATTGTGATGGTTTACATTATTTTGATAATGGACATGCATAAGTTCATTTAGTATTAAAAATAATAAAAGAAACAGTGGAAAAAATCTACAATGCTTTGAGTTGCTACTTGATTTTTAGGGCTCATGTTTACATTTCAAGTGAAGTGCATGACTATAAAGCAGTTTGGGGTCAGTCAGTTGGCAACTACCAAGACCATGATGCACCCATGGTATGATTTGTAAACATCATAACATCTATATTTTCTGTACTTTGTGCTTACTGGTTGCACAGATAAGAAACAGTCATCTGAAAATAGAGGTGGAACCAGAGAGAATGTTAGTTGTTTCTAGATGAATAATAATTCTGTTTGAAGATTGCTTTCAGCCTCCAAATGAACCAAGAATTGTCCTCCAGGTCACCAACAGAGTAAGCTTCAGTTGAGGCTCACATGAGGTCTTACTGCAACTTTTCTTGTGCTTCTTTTACATTAAATTTCAGCAAATTGACAACATAACTATAAATGTTAAATTTCTATGTGAATTTAATACATGCATAAAAAGTGGCAGTATTTCCAATGTATAAATAGGCTTTTCTTTGTTTTATCATTTCCTTTAATTTTTCCTGAATATTTCACTTAGTATCAACAACATGGTTGGTAGTTTTTAAATAAGAATTGACAATTGGAATATCTTATAGGACATTTCAAACTGAAAGTATTCACACAAAAATATCACATTTGATTTCAGAAAAGATAGGTTAGGAGAGAAGTCTCAGAAGTCTTATATTCAGTAAAACCACCCTTCTTAGTTAGTTTTAATTTTTATTGAAAAATATTCTGAGTTTCTTAAATGACAAAACTAATTCAGAAACAAAATTGAAGCTGTGCTTACTGAATAAAAGTGGATAAGCATTAATGTGTTTAACATTTTTATCATCAGTTTCCTTCAAATAATATACAAGGCATTCGAATTGGTTAAATCCTCAGTACAAGCCTATCATTTATTAGGTCCTTTGAATTAAATGTGCCTAATAAATGGAGTTTTGAAAATTTAAAATAGAAAAAGAAAGAAAAAGATTTTAGAGAAAAATTTGAAGTTATTTGAATCCTTACAGATATATAAATTTAATTCTATATGAATTGGGTATTTTATATGTAGATATTAAAAGAGTAGAAAAGTTACTTTACAAATACACATTTTTTTAAATTTGGCAATTATAGAGAAACAAATAGAAATTAAAATGTCTTTAATCCCACCATTCAGAAGTCACCACAGGCAATTTAATACCTTTCCCTTAAAAGAAGCATTGTATCTAATCTAAGTTCTCTTTCAACCTTCTTAATGCCCTCTTTAAACTTTTGTAACACGTTAGCACTTAGAGTTTAATAATTTTCAAATTCACCCTACCAAAGTCCTATTTGTAACTCCCCACACACATTTTATCATTTTGCATGCCTTTGGCCACGTTCCCTCTGCTGAAAATATCTTTCCCTTCCCTTGTCTTCTGGTAAACTTGTGCTTTTCCTTCAGAATCCAGTCTCTGTCACCTTCTCTGAGAAGACTTCTTTGCCCTACTCTTCTTCCCCTATAGACTGAATTACTCCATCCCTTTGTATTTCTGCTTCACCTTATAAATCTGTTATTACGTCTGCTCATACTACGTGGTAGTTTTTTATTTGCATGTGTTTCCATGCTAAATTGTGTTTTTTTAAAGGGCACTTTAAAAAATGATATATAAGAGGGGACTTGATAATATGGGTGAATGTTGTAACCACATTGTTGCTCATGTGAAACCTTCACAAGATTGTATATCAATGATAACTTAGTAAAAGATATATATAAAAATTAAACATCTGTTGAGCTAGATTTCTGTAGAGAACAATGACTATTGGTTTAAGTCCTCAAATACCTTGAAACCTAATTGAATATTTATTTATTTACAAATACTCTTTATTTCCTATTTTTAAAAAACTTTGTATCATGGAAATTTTCAAACATACACAAAAATATTAGTGAAATTATTAAGAATTAGTACAATGAAGTCCCCAAATGCTCATTACCCAACTTCAACAGTTACCAGTATCTTGCTAATATTTCATCTGTTTCCCCACTCCACATGCAGCTTTTTAGGGGAGCAGAATATGGGGCAGAGTATCTGGAATATTTTAAAGCAAATCCCAGCATAGAATCATTTCACTCCAAACACAGATAAGG